CTCTCTCTCTCTCTCTCTCTTTCTTTCTTTCTTTCTGTTTTCCTCCTTTCTTTCTTTTTTTCTCCTCTTCTCTTTTTCTCCCTTTTATTCAAGTCTGTTTCACACACCCGCTTTCGGACGTGTGTTCTTGGTTACATTAATACTGATTTAAGTACATCTGCCTTACGTTTATGCGATCTTGAGGTCTTGGAGTCAGAGAAAACTTCTTTTTTTTCTTGTTGTTGTTGTTGTTGTAATTTTACGTTTCGTGTGTTTTCTCTACTGAAGTTTTAAATAGTGGTGGTTAGCGGGTGCTCTGGTGTGGTTTGCTTCTTCTTTCCTATCACACATCTATCGTCCTCCCCTCCTTCTTTTTGTGTCTGTTACTCTCTTGTAACACCTCGAATCTTCGGCACATATATGACCTTATCGTGTTGCAAGTGCGATAAAAACACTTACTAAAACTAAACGTTTTAAATAGATACGAAACGACCCTTGCCATTAATTTTCTCACAGAAAAAGCGATCGAGTGCTCATCGACTGTAAATATTACATTTGTTTGTTTCTTTTGTGGAGTGACAATATTATATCTATAATTACTTTTATGTTTCACAGCCTAGGGCTCAGAACATAGGACGGGATCAGAGAAATAAAGGATCTGAGTCACCTCGGGGTCCATCCAGGGGAGAAAAAAAAACCTCAGCTGAACTTGAGCATGATGCAGAGTTTTGGTAATTTGTAAAAGTCATAACTCTATTTCTTGGCCATAACTCTATTTCTTGGTCATAACTCTATTTTCAAATTTCTAAAAAATATTTTTTCTTAGCATTTTGACAATTGGACCATTTATTTTTCTGATCCTTTCATTTATTTCCAGGTTCCCTTAGAAACCTTGACCAAGTTCATCTTTCCACGCTGAGTACTACATAGAGGGAAATTATCACATCTTTGATGAACGAAGAACAATCAATGTCAACATCATGCAGGAACATGAGATTTAAAAGCCAGTTGCACAACAGGACTCCCAGACAGTGTCCGGGTTTATTTACCTAGATCTAGATCTCTTGGCGTGTAAACCACTGGTAGAAGAGTGAGTTCCAAAGATTCAAGGACGTGCACTCGAGACGAGCAGCAAATATACAACGTTTTGCTGGGGGGAATCACAGACTGATATCTTACCTGCCCAAGCAGCAAACATTACAAAGTTTTGCGGGGGGGAATCACAGACTGATTTCTTACCTGCCCAAGCAGCAAACATTACAAAGTTTTGCGGGGGGGAATCACAGACTGATTTCTTACCTGCCCGATGATCGACGAGAGACAGCTCAGCGAGGAAGGAGTTGGGTACAGTGCACAACATGACGTTGTGTTTTGAAACGGTTGTAAAGACGGAGGTATAGTAGAAGAAAAGAAAGAAAGAAAGAAAGAAAGAAAGAAAGAAAGAAAGAAAGAAAGAAAGAAA